CAGCCTCCTCTGACTGGCCACTTGTCTTGTCATTTCCCTCCAGGGCAGCCTCTGTGTAAAATTAGGGGCTGCTCCTGCTGCATGATGAAGTCTAAATTCCCTCACATGGTCTGAGCCCTATTTAACCTTCCTACAACCAGAGACTTGCATTTCTAGGCCTTGCTGTTCTCTCCTTTGCTTTCAGACCTTCAGACACGGCGCTCTCTTTGCCTGGTATTCCATCCTCCTTGTTTTTCCGTCTGGTTAAGTCTCAGTCAACCTTCCAGACTTCAGTGCTGTCTCCTCTAGGCAGCCTTGCCCACCACCTGTCCAAGGGCTTTGCCTCCAGGCTCCCAGGCAGCCTTGTGCCTCACTTCTTTGTAACAAAACACTTGTTACTCTGTAATGTAATTCTCCTAGGTAATAATGGCTATGGGCTCTATGCTATGTGCTGGACATTCTTTTAAGCTCTTTGTTTGTATTAGCTCATTTAATCTTCACGTCCTGTGCAACAGGTACTATTATCACCCTCACTTTGCAGGTGAGGAAATAGAAGCAGAGAGAAGTAAATATCCCTCCCAGTATTACACACCCAGCATTTGAACCCAAGAGGTCTGACTCCAGAATCCATATAATTATGCCCTATGCATTTTTGTATCCAATAATCTCAAAGGATTTTATCTCTGTTGTTCACTGACGTACTCCCAGGGCTTAGAATAAAGTTTAGCGAGTAATAGCTGCTCTTAAAGTGTTTATAGACCCAGTGAATGAGTAAATGCTCATTCATTTCTGTTTCTTTCTTCTGAAGGGCCAGAGCCGGGGTTTTAGCTTGTGTCTTCCCAGCACTAGCCTGGTACCTGGCATGTAATTCAACCTGGTAAGCTTGGCTCTGCATAGGTCCACTGCCCTCTGAGTTCCAAGTGATTCCACTTCTCCTCTGTACTTTTTTCTTGAGGCCTCACATCCACCCTGCCACGCCATAGCACACTTTGCTGCAAGTCAGTTTTCAGTGTGTAGGAAAAAAAATCTTGTTAGCTGCTGCTTGACAGCTGGAAAAACAGAGCTATACCAGAGGCAAACAATTCTGTGTCTCAGGGAAGCAGGGAGGAGAGGAGGAGAGGCTCTCGCCTCCCTGGGTGTCTGGGTGGAGGGCTAAATCACTGAGTTCTTCGAATTCCTTGGAAAATGAAAACTCAAAGGAATATTACACAACATGGAGGAACAGGAGAGAATACACAGAGACATAAAAATGATTTAAATGTTGAAAAATACGATCCTCAAGGCTAAAAATCGTTGCGATTAAATTTGGGGAGAAAAAGCTGGGTTCAGAGGTGCAGTGCCCTGAGGGACCGTGTGTGGATGGGCTCCAATCTGAAGGCTGTCGAACAGATGTTCCCAGGCCTCTCCGAGTGGAGGAGTGTGCGACAGGCCTAAGCTGACCTCCGAGAGGCGGAGACAAGGGAACCAGGACAACTTTCCTGGGGAAATGACAGCCTGAGCTTCTGCAAAACATTATAAAAGAGTATCTTCCAAGTTCTACGCTAACCCCCTCACCCTCCGCTCCAGAGGGGAGGGAGGTGACAAATGATGGCATTTCCTGGGTAGTAGATGTATTTTGCATTTTTCCCCCTCAATGAGCACTTTAAAATTCAATAGATTTTTTAAGTGCCTTGGAGAATTTCGCTAGAAACTTTGAAAACTTTGGGTGGGGCGGAGGTGGGGAGCAGGTCAGACTTTCGTGTTTATGCCAACACAAAAACCAAACAGCTCTCATGTGCCAGTTTCTGGCTTATTTAGTAGCTACCATTTGAGACACAAGTGAGAGGGTAAGTGCTTTCTCAGGCTGTGCCTCATTGTCTTTTTTGAGCAGCACTTTGCAAGCTGTACTGTAAGGATTAAAGAGATATAGAAAATAACACACTTATGAAAGGGCACAAGGCAGGCTCCACAAATGGGAGTGGGTTTATCATTAGGGTCATTTTTTGCTAGCTTTATTTTCTTATTTTCCAACTGAGATTTCAGAGGCATTGCCTCCCCATGAGCAAGACTGACTACAGTAGATCCTAAAGTCAGAAGAGCTTATGATTAGAGTGAAAGCACCGAACTGGTTTCCCAGATGGGCTCCCTGGCTAAAAAGGGCTTGTGACAAGCAAGTGTCCTGAAATAATTAATGCCCCGAGGGAGGAGGGGAATGTATGAGGAGACGTATTCTCTCTCGTTCGCGTATGGTTCATTTTCTCTGCCCAGGAGGAAGGTATAGACTTTATGGGCAGGGGCCATATCTTCTAATTTGTATTTATAACCTTTCTTTGTCTTTCTCAGAGTTTCCAGGAACAAAGAATGCACATATGGGTAAACCGAATCCAGACATCCAAGGTACTTGTATTGCTAAACATGTGTAGAGTTTCATACAAATACAATTCACAAAATTACATTTGGCAAGAATTTGATACATTGTCAAGAGCTTCTTTCTATCCAGTGATCTTGTGCAACATCTGGTATACTACACATAGTGGCAAATACAGCAACTCTTGGCCCTGCAGAGACCTCCAGCTGGCAGATGGAGCCTCCTTCCTGGAGCTCAGAGGTTCAGGGATGCAGCGTGTCTGCCGCTCCGCTCCTGGTGTCCTGCTGTTCTGTTCCAGACCTTCCAGATGCTTTGAGAGAGGAGTGGCCAAGGCATTCTCACTTTTGAGAGGAGTGAGATAAAACAAACTGGACAAACCAGGTTCTCTGATTAAAGTCCTTGTTTTCCCAAGAAGTGCTTTTGTTTTTTCCTACACTACTCTACTGAAGGCCTTGCTGGTGGACTATTTTCAGTGGCTTTCTCCTCTCTATTGTTTTGAAGGGCTCCTATTAGTTAGAGGTCATTTATGTTTGGCCATTGCCCTTTGAAGTTCCAGTCAAACAGAATTTACTGTAAAACAAATTAGTCTTTATTATTTTAGTGAAAATCATAAACTCAACTCAGACACACACAGAATCAAATTTCTGGACCTCTCATCTATCCAGTTTTCCCTGTGGGGAGCTGATTCTTATGGGTGAGTGAACTACTTTTAGCAAGTGGTTAATGAGCTGTATGCTATGCAGATATTACTTCCTTTAAGTGTTCACTCATTGATTGGCTGGCCATCACTGCTTCCTCTTGATAATGAAAAGGGCTAAGAAAACATATATGGAAAGATTAGATTTGAATCATACGAAATTACTTCAGAAAAGTTCAAAGACTGTTTTAAATAAGCTGCAAAATAGGCACATGATACCATATTCCGTACGATAATAAACCAGTAATGATGAAAGAAGGTACAATTATGTTATTTTATACCCAGTAATTAAATATAAACCTTATAATTATAAAAATATATTAGTTTACTATAAACTCTGAAGTCAACATTTTGAGAAACGACTGTTGTGCTCTTCGAGTCAGAGATGAATGGTGTTGAAGAGGTTTGGGAAATCTTCCTTTATCTCACAAAAGACTATGTAATTTGAAAAAATGCTTTTTTAAAAAACTACTCTGTACCTGAATACAAAGTGCTGACACATAATATTTATCAAATATGATTGATAATAATTTTAATGAACTGTTACAATGAGAATTTCAAGAATTATATGAAACATTTTGGGGTTGAAGAAGTTCTGACTAGTGTTCAAAAGTGACCCTCTCCTTTATGCTTTGGTCCCAGTACGGTGAGAATTCGAGACTCTGAATTATGCAAAAGAGCTAATGCTCTTTATCAGTTTGCATGCATCGAATAGACAATCTTAACAAAGGGGAGTATCTGATTCGTGGTACAGCATAAATGTAAGGAGGAACCTAACAGGCTCTCTGATCATGGAGTAAATCTTTTCATGTGGACAGCAAGAAAATGTTTCAAAACCATAGAATGACTGCATCTTCACTGGAGAGGAAGGAATTGCTTCCCTTCTGTTATAGGAAGTTAAAGACTTCTATCCCCATCAAAGATAAACACCTTAAAATGCTCGAGTCTTTCATTATTAGAGATTTTTCCCTCTGGAGGCTGTAGTTTAAGACTTTTAAAGGAAGAGTTATACGTTAGAGATCATGAGAAGTCTCCACTCTTATCAACAGGGAGTGTTCATTTATAATGGTTTCCCTTGTAATTCCATGTGATGGAATTAGACTAGCATTAATTGTTTTAGTGCTTTCCTCTCAATATTCCTGAGAAACTAAACAAAGCTTCACGGACAGCCCACAAGGTGCTCTCTCTCTCTCACCTCCAGTCCCTGGACTCCAGCCTTCCCACTTCCCCGTCCCCACAACCATATCAGAGCTCAGGCCACCACCACTTCTCATTGTGGCCCCTTGACCCCAGGCTCCTTGTATTTCTCATACCCCTCCCTCCCCCCCCCCCCCCCACTCCTCCATCCGTTCTGTAAACTCTGCTCAGGGAGATTGTCCTCAAATGAAGAGTGGTCCTATCATTTTCAATTGTTTGAACATTGTTTATAAATTCCTTTGTAACATCACCTCCTTGCCCCTCCATTCCTGCCACCTTCTCCGTGTGGCCCTGTTCCTCATTCCAGGTCTTTTGTCATTCAGGTCCCTTTTCCGGGAACTCTCCCTCCAGCAGCATTCCCCATTTCCTGCACCTGGGTAATCCCTGCTAGCTTAAGTCTCTGCTTAGATGCTACTTTCTCCAAGTTGTTTTCCCAGATCCCCCAAAATCTGAATCCCCCTCACATGTCTGTTTCCCTCTCCCTGTAGCAGCGACTACACTAGGTTACCATTGCCTTTTTGCTTTTCTGAACCCTCTAAAGTTTGCTAGCTTCTTGAGGGCGGGACCCCTTGTCTGTCTTGTTCATCATTGTATTCCCAGGACCTAGCACAGTATGTGGCTCAAAGCAGACACTGAATGTGTGCTTGCTGAGTGAATGAATGAAGACAGACAGACAGATGAATCAGTGTAGAGATAAAAGATGTCTACTTCATGGGATTCTTCTTGTAAATAAGTAACAAAATAAGAGACATTAAACATGTCTTACAACAGGCACTTGGTAACGTTGTTTTTCTCCCAACATACAGCTTTGCTTCCACTTAGCATAAATGTCTGCTCACCCTTCCAGTGGACTCCACATGCTCCTCCTCATGTATATGATCACAAGTTTTTGCAATTGAAAAAATCACATTGAGAAGAGGGTAAGCAAGTTTATATTTATTAAAAAACAATATTCATAAATATAATACAATAAAAGGGTGTGTATATATTGAGAATTTATAAATATTTAAAGCACTGGATGTCAAGTATCCTATCCTACTATATAGGATAAGCAAATTTAAAATTATATTTTAATGGGTAGAGCTCAGTTTCATGTTGTGGGGCTCAAATTATAGCCTGCTATTAACTTTTTTGTACATTATTTTAAATATTGTTTGTAACTGAATCAACTCCTGAAGTTTAAAATTTTAAATGTAATTTTTAAAATACAATAGAATTGTATTTTTATACTTGGTAATAATGACATAAATTTTAGATCAAAATTTTTCTCTAAATAAGAATAGGAATTATTCATTTTACTTGACTGTGTAATGCTTTAAGAGCTATACAAAGAAAAGATTTAAGAACTCCTTTATTGCTATTATTTTTCCAATGAAAGCATGTACTCTAAACTAGTTCATAATAGAATGTGCTGAGATAGCCTTATTTGCACAAAATTTACAACCCAAGGGATAGTTTTGTATGTTTTTCTTTGCTGGCTGGACTGTGGCCGATCGTGGCCAAGTGTTTTGATGCTGTTGGTTTGGCTCTTAAATGAAACTGGATCCTGACAACAAAGTTCAAGAATTATTGTCGGCTTTTCTGCATAACTTAGACGCATCCACAAAGGCATATGTACTATTGCCCTGGCAGACATATATACACGAGTACAGTATAACACCTTCATCCTCCATGCTTGGCAAGTTAATGTGGATGTTCATTTTTATAGCCGCTAACTTATTAGCTGTGGATTACGTTGTCACTCTGTGTGTTACATTTCCAAGCATAAGAAGTGTGAGTGAGTTCTGAGACATGTGAAATGAAGGATCAACTAGCAAAAGCTGGTCTTGAAGGCATCAGAGAGTAAGGATAAAGACTTCATCACGCGGTTCCTAGAGCTTGCCAATTCCTTGATTGACAGCTCTCTGTATGGCAAGCCTTGAGGGATTGGGTATTTAAATCTTAATTACAAAAAAGTGTTATAGAATACTAAAAATCATTCAAGGAAACTGGAAGGCTTCTAATGTAGCATTTCTCTATTAATCTCTTATAGAGAATAAATTTGATTGACAAGATCCATATAAATAGTGTAAAGGAATTTAGGAAATCAGTACAAAACTGAAGGGAAAATTTTAAACTGTTTGCCATAAATGTGTCCTATTTTATAAATGAAAATGCCCCCACAATCTTATACACAAAAATGTAACAGATTAAAATGAGCTTTATTATATAAGATACAATCTCTAATGGCTTAAAAGAACTGAAATCCTAGTGACAAGATTCAAACAAACAAAAATACAACACAAATAGCTGCTTTGCTTAGAAAAAAAAATCACAAGAACTTATTTTTAGGGGGAAAAAAGGATTCTAAAAGACAGAAATATAACAACTGTAGAGAAAAAGATTTTAAATAAAAATTGAGGGGCATACAAGAAAGCTCTTGGTATTCTCATCTATGGCGTTCCCTTATTAACTTATTAATTCAATAAACACTAATTAAGAGATTACTCTGGTCCAAATTCTTTGCCAAGTGAAGAGAATATGGAGATAATAATGGCAGGGTCATAGTCCAGCGGAAAAGCACTCATGAAAACATGTCATAGCAATAGAATCTCATTCAAGTATAAATACAAAGCCTGCTGTCTTCAGTTCCCTTGCCCCACATTCAGTCTCTACCTTGCACTTTTCCCTGAGGAGGCTAGTCTGAATGGACCATATCCATGGGTGCCTTTGCCTTTGGTGTCTGGCTGGGTTCAGTCAATGGAGACCCCAGCAGCAGATCGAGAAAGGGATAAGCATGAGTGTGGTATTGAATCCCCCACTCCTTCCACCTGGCTGCCTGCATCTGTTGACCAGTCACAGCTCCTTTCAAGAAATATCCTCAAATTCTTCTTTTGACTGTGCTGTCTGTTTCTGGCCAGGCCCAGACTGATACACTGTGGGAACACCAAGGATCCTTTGGGGAATCCAGAAAGACTTCACAGAGGAAGTGGCACTTGAGCTGGGTCTTTAAGGAAGAGTAGGAGTTCCTGAAGTGATGGGGAGAAATTCAAGGAGGCTAGAACATGGGGCAAATGGATAAAGGGAAGAAAGAAGTCAAGATGACTTTGGGGTGAATTGTGAAGGACCTTGTGTTTCCTATAGAAGTGTTTGGACTCAACCCCAAGGCAGCAGGTGATAGGTTATTTTGGTGAGTTATCAAGAAGAAGGTAGCTGATAACTGTATACAGCAGTGTTTCGCAGATCTGCTTATTACATGCATCTTTTTAATGGAAATATTTTTGAGGACTTTTCAGGGTGAACTTACATATTTTTATTATACTATGCATCCTATATGTATCAGCTTTAACTAGCTATATATAAATTCCTTTTGCTTATTATTTTTATACAACGAAAGAACCAAAATTGATTTGGATAATAAATTAAAACAAAACCATATGAATTCTAAAATTCAAATGAACATTAATTTAACATGAAGGATTATGTTTTACTAAAATAAATTCGTGAAAAAATTGAATTTACTTAATTATAATGGAGTTCAACAAGTCTAGACTCCCTTAAGTTTTAAGGTAATTCAATTCTTTTACCTCTTTCTGTTACTGAAACTATTATGCATCTTCCATCTATAAAATACACTGTGAAGTCATTTGACCTTCATTTAATATAAGGTTCCCTCCAAACTTAGCTGTGTAAACAGCCCTTTTATTATGCTAATAGAGTCTGTGAGTCAGAGATTCAGACCAAGGACAATGGGAATGGCTTTTGGATAATCTGGGGCTCAGCTAAGAAGACTCAAAGGCTGGAGGTCACCCAACATCTTCACTCTGGTAATTGATGCTAACTCTTGGCTGGGACCCTCGCTGGGGCAGTGGACTGGAGCTTCAACACCTGCCTTTCCAGGCAGCCTCAAACTCCGCATAGCATGGAAACCTCAGGGTAGTCAGCTTTCTTACATAGCCGCTCAGAGCTCCCAAGGGTCCCAGTTCACAAAGCAAAGCTTGTCTCCCATTTCCTGCCCTAACGTCAGAAGTCACACAAGGTCATTTCCACTAGATTCTATTGGTTACAGTGAGGCTGTATGTTCACCCAAATTCAGGGGGAGGGAGCACGGACCCCAGGTCTTAATGGGAGGAGTATCAAAGAATTTTTCAGCCCCTTTTGAAAACTCCCACAGACTATGATAATAACACAAAAACAAACACGGGACACTAAAAAAGAATCTTTTTTTGTTGTTTTTATGGTGTTCATCTGAATAATCCAGAATATGCTTATTTGCAGAATAATAACTAAGATTTTTTTCCCCTAAGGCTCTAAAATTAGCACTTAATTTCCAAATCTGAGAATGAATGGGTGACGAATATCTCTCATTTTGGAGGGCTTACTGTTAGGCATTAGATACACCATCCAGGACTAAAGAAGTGGCCAGACACATTTGTTTTCTCCTTTCTCGTGGAAAACAGAGGGCCACAAGTCACCCTTCTGGAGGAACATATAGCACTTGTTACTCTGCCACCATGTTGCATGCTCAGCATGGCCAAGGCGGCACTCTCCATCTGGACATCGACCTGTCTACCTTACCCGCCAGTTGCAGACTACCCATCCTGGACAAAGTGCCAATATTGAGCACCATTCACATTTTCAAACAGGAAATATTAATATTAGATTTGTTATGGGGAAAATGCCTTTTAGATTTTTTATAATTTCAATTGTTAGGAACATTTGATTAGTTGCAAAAAAGGATTTAAATTTTCTGGTATGTTTCAGTGAATTAAGTTTTTGTTGATGTCAAATCCGAAGAATGTGAAGAGACAATCGTTTAGAAATCTTATTGAGGGCTGAGGAGGAGTGAGAAGAATAGGCGGTGACTGCTAATGAGTATGGGGTTTCTCTGTGCGGGGATGAATATGTCCTAAAATCAGATTGCGGTTATGGCTGCTCAGTTCGTTGATACATTAAAAGCCATTGATTTGCACAACTTACATGGCATGTGAATTCTATCTCAATAAAGATGTTATTCAGGCGTAATGAATCTACGAGGTTAGATGTCAGGATAATGATTTTCCTGCTATGGGTGTTGTTGTGTAAGAGGAGGCATAAATTGGGCTCTGATGTTGGTTTTTTATCTGGCTGCTGGCAACATGGATGTTACACTCTATGAAAATGTATCAGGCACTTATGGTTTGTGTATTCTTCTGTATGTATATTATACTTCAATAAATGTTACTTTTAAAAAACACACACAAAAAAGCCAGAATGCTATATGCAGTAAGAGGCTATGGGGTAGATCATTGGGGAGAGGAGATGAAAGTTGTGGACATTCTAGTAAATATTAGTAAATGTTTAGCAAATGGCTTCCCAAAAGAAAAAAAATAGAACTGATTTGTAGTTTTTGCTTATTTCTATAGTGTGAATTCTCCCATCATGGCTGGTTTCAAGTTACCAGTAGATTAACAACCAACTCACAGAATTTCTGAAAAGTGAACAATTGACCAGTAGGAGCTGGCTTTATTATGGTTAAAGGTATTGGAATAAGCTGAGCTGGATCAGATCTCCCATACCCATAACCAAATGGTGATGTGCGCCCTCCAACAAAAACACACTGTGCCCCAAAGTGACTTACACTGTGCCCCACCAAAGAGACATCAGGTGGATTCTTGCCACACTGAGGGAGTAGATATGCAACAGTATAGCCAGGAGAGAACCACAATAGCACCCTTGGGTGGGACCCAGTCATCTCTTTCCATAACTCCTCTTTCCCCACACACCCAGACTTCCCAGAGAGGAGGAGATGATCAAAGAAAGGTGTGGACCACAACTGTTGTGCCCTACGGGTTTCAGGCCATGGGTCAAGCAGCATGAGCTAGGAGAGGCGGGAGGTGGTGGTGCTCTATGAGAACGAAGTTTAGCTGGATCAAAATGGACTGGACTGGAAATAATCTGTAAGTAACTGAAAAGGAGGGTTTGTCTTAGTACAAATGAATGTGGCATTTGGAGAAAAAAACACAAAACTATTTCTGATATAAACTCCTACCAAGTTCAAACTGATAAATCAATTGTGCTCATTATTAAATTAATTTGAAGTTTATCATTGAAATAAAAACAAAACAAAACAAAAATTAACCTTCTATATAACTCACAGAAAGATACTCTACAAATAGACTGAAATGAGAAGATGAATTAAAAAAATCGTTAAATATCAGAATTCAAAGTTGAAGATCTGATCTAAGGATGTATTAGACGGGAACTTTGACAGAGACGGGGGCCACATTTAAGAGGCGAAGTTACCTGATTGGGTAGCCAGTTTTATATGGTGGGCAAAACATAAAGGTGTCAAGATTGATTCTTATTTCCCAAATTGGAAAGCTAAATATAGTTTCATGGTTTTGGAACTCAGAGTTTTTAAAATTGGCATGAATTTAGAAGACATTATTTTACATGTATGTTGAAATTGGAAGAGTCCTCTCTGAATAATAAACTAAGATGATGAATACGTCCCATAGTGTTAACATTTATTAAGATTCATGCTAATAGCATTGTTTTGCTTGTTTTAGAGCTTCATGTAAATGGTATCATATTCAGTTTGGTCTTCTGGGACTTAATTATGCCACTCATTATGTTTCTAAGATTTATCCATGCTCAGTTGTGTGTGTCTGTAGTTCATTCATTTCTATAGATGAGTATTTTCTGGGGTGAATATATCATAGTTCATTGATCCATCTTTTGTTTGATGGGTATCAGTGTTATTTTCAGTTTTGTATCATAATTAAGTGTGCTATTGTGCACATTTCCTGGCACACATATCAGGAATACGATGAAGAAGAAGACAGGGTATTCAAGATGTTTTATTTCTTAAATTGTGGTGAACTTTTATTTTATTAACATGATTCATAATTTAAGTATATATTATGTATATTCTTTTGCATGCATTTTACAAATGCAAATATTACATTTTAAAAGAATAAAATAGGACTATGGAGAAAAATAAGTGGAAGGAAGGATATAGGGAATGTGGGTTTAGAGAGGAAAGGGGTGCAACTTTAAATAGGGCGGTCAGAGGGGGCTCCCTGGAAGGTGCCGTTTGGGCAAGACCTGAGGGGCAGTGACGAAGTGGCCTTGGGGAGATGGGAGGAGAGAGTGCTCAAATACAGACATCATATAGAAACGTGAAAAGGAAGACTAACTGCTAGTGAGAGGAATCTGTAGGGGGAGGTGGGGGGCGTAGTATCAGTTAAAGCAGCACCCTTCCCCGAGTTCCCCGCCTGGCTGTCCAGCTGGAGTAGCTGCTGCCCATGGGATTTTACAGCGTCCAGGGACAGATCTCTCCAGCCAACTCGGCCAAAGTGAGGAAAATTCCCTTTCCTCTTAGCTTTTGAGAAACACACACACACACAGACACACACACACACACACACACACACACACATGGCTTTACTGGAACACTTAAAACAGAAATGGATCCAGTTACAAAACACAGGTAATTTGTTCTGCAGAAAGTAGAGTATACCCCTAGCTGGCCTCAGTATCACTTCCATACTGCAAGTCAAACCTGTTTGGCAAACTGTGCCCCAAATTCCTCCTTTGAATCTATGGGTCCTCCCCTGTTTTAATTTCTGTTCCTCCTCATTTTCCTTCAGGCCTCACCGTCTTCAGGACTGAGGCAAATAGCTAAAGTGTGGGTCCCCGGCTTGAATAAACAGGTGCTTAGTGAGTTTACAGGGAGCTTTCTGAAGAAGGTATCCTTGCCCACAAAAAAAATCAGAAACCTATCACTGCTTTTGGCCACATCTTCTCACATCATCTGCCCTGTGGTAAACATATTTTCCACCCAGTTTACTATGAAAAATTTAATACTTCATGGTTTTCAATATACCTTATAGGAAATGAGATTTTAAAACAAACTATATAAAATAGATACACAACAAGTTTCTTCTGCATAGCATAGGGAACTATATTCAGTATCTTGTAGTAACCTATAGTGAAAAGAATATGAAAATGAATATACATATGTATATGTATCACTGAAACATTATGCTGTACAACAGAAATTTATACATTATGAACTGACTATACTTCAATTAAAAAAAAACTTTAAATGAATTACTAAAATCCTAGTGACTCCAAAACAGAAAGAAAGGAAGGAAGAAAGAAAGAAAGGCCAAAGGAGAAGTAATTTTCCTGTAAGTGGTGTAAGTTTCCTTATAGATGTTAAAAATGTCCTCATTATTCTCTTAACAGCAACTAACAGTGCTCCTATTGATAATAGGATGTGGGAAAACTCATGCAGCTCAAAGTCATAATAAAGAGCCCATGCGTTTGTTGCTGGTGAAAAGATGCTTTTGGCAGGAAAGCACCTGCTATGGGTATAATCAGGGTGGTGTGCGAATAATAAACTGCAATACAACTAAATGTAAACTGCATGTAATGTTTCTTGGGCCTTGGAGATGATGATCAAGTTGTGTCCCGCCCAGTGGGATTTCTGAGATCCTCAAGCTCCTGTCCCCCAGCTCCCAAGCTCATTCTGAACCTTGCCATGAAATCTGGGGGGCTCAAGATTTCCTCAGCAGCCGTGGCAGCCACAGTTGATGTCCTGGTTCAGTTCTGGCCTGGATGCTCGCTTTCTCTATGATGGCTGCTTTCCTGGTGGGACCTTGGTAGGACATCTGTCAGTCTCCCTGCTTTAATTCAGCTGAGCTGTGAGTAACCTGTTCCTCGAGGACTGTTGAAAGCTTTCTGTCTTAAAGCTATGACAACATACCTAATTTCAATGCTTTTTTTTTTTTCCTTTTTTACAAAGCTGAGGGGCTGGAACAAAGTGGAGAAGGAGGGACGTTTCCTAGGAAACTCTCCTATTCCTCGGGGTCACCTGTGGAGTCCGAAAGTGTTCGGTGACAGTGAAAGCGAGAGTTCACTGGTGGGCGGAGTAGCCCCTGTCCAGCTAAGGCCTGCAGCAGGCTGGGCCCTCAGGAGCACTGGACACCGGCCAAGAACAGTGCTGTGTGCTGAGTTGTAGCTAGAATGGTCTGACAGCAGGCTGTCTGGGAAAATGTCTTTACTGGCCTGGGATAATAGATTGCCAAATACAGGTCCAAATACAGGCATCCTTCGTTTCATCACACTTCCCAGACATTTCAGGGTTTTTTGAAGTATAGTTGACTTACAATATTATATTAGTTTCAGGTATACAACATACGCATGTCTCTCACTTTAAATCAAAAGCTAGAAATGATTACGCCTAGTAAGGAAGGCCTGCCGAAAACTGAGACAGGCCGGAATCTAGGCCCCTTGCCCAGTCAGGTTGTGTGAATGCAAAGGAAAAGTTCCTGAAGGAAATTAAAACCATTATTCCAGTGAACACATGAGTGATAAGAAAGAGAAACAGCCTTACTGCTGATATGGAGAAAGTTGTAGTGGGTCTGGAGAGAAGGTCAAGCCAACTCCAGCAGTCCCTTGAGCCAAAGCTTAGTCCAGAGCCAGGCCCTGACCCTCTTCGGTTCTGTGAAGGCTGAGAGAGGCGAGGAAGCTGCAGAAGAAAAGCCTGAAGCTAGCAGAGGTTGGTCATGGTTTAAGGAAAGAAGATAACATAACAGAGCAAGGGAAAGCAGCGAGTGCTGAAATAGAAGCTGCACAGCAGGTTACCCAGAAGGTCAGGCTAAAATGATTCATGAGGACAGAGGACAGGCTGCCCTGCTTATTAGGGGCTCGCTAATGCAGCTGGTGACTTAAGGTGAAGCCATCACTCACTTACCATTCTGAAAATTCTTAGGGCTCTTAAGAATTACACTAAATCTACTCTTCCTGTGCTCTCTAAATGAAGCAGAGTAAATTGAGAACCTTCTGGAAGGGATTCATCATTCCAGATGCTGTTAAAAACATTCGTGATTCAAGGGAAGGGGTCAAAATATCAACATTAATAAGAGTTTGGAAGACGTTGATTCCAACCCTTACAGATGACTTGGGGGAGGGGTTCAAGACTTCAGTGGAGGAAGTAACTGCAGATGTGGTGGGAAAAGCAAGAAAACCAGAAGATGTGACTGAATTGCTGCAATCTCGTGATAAGGCTTTAATGGGTGTGGAGTTGTTTCTTACGGATGAGCAAATAAAGTGGTTTCCTGAGACGGACTCTACTCCTGGTGAAGGTGCTGTGAAGATCGTTGGAAGGACAGCAGAGAATTTAGATTATTAAATAAACTTAGCTGGTAACGCAGCAGCAGGGTTTGAGAGGCCTGACTCCTATAGTGAAAGAAGTTCTGCTGTAGGTAAAAAGCTATCAAATAGCATTGCAGGCTACAGAGAAATCCAAGGCAGAATCAACTGACGTGGCAAATTTCATTGTTGTCTTATTTTAAGAAGTTGTTGCAGACACCCCAACCTTCAGCAACCGCCACCCTGATCAGTCAGCAGCCATTAACATTGAAGCAAGACCTTCCACTAATGAAAATATTATGACTCTCTGAAGGCACAGATGATGGTTAGCATTTTGTAGCAATAGAGTATGTTTTGATTAAGGCATTACCTTGTTTTTTCAGACACAGTGCTATTGCGCACTTAATAGACTATAGTATAGGGTCAACATAATTTATTTGCACTGGGAAACCAAAAATTTCATGTGCTTCACTTTATCGTGATATTCATTTTACTGCAATGGTCTGAAATCAATCCCACAGTACCTCCAAGCTCTGCCTGTAGATTGGCAAACTTCCAACCATGGGAGAGGGAGGGTGAGATTGGGAGTGGGTAGTTGCCTGCAATTCCTTCAGCTCTTTGGGTCCTGCAGGAATGCCAGGGGGAGCTAAACAATCGCTGCCTTGAATGGGGGCAAGCTTTCAACCCCGGGATTTTCACTCACTCACTTTGTGCATCAGTCACCTTAGTCTAAATGAGATGACAGGAATAAATGACCCACAAATGAACATGGTATTACTGTTCAGATTCCATGTTCATTGAGCATTGGCTGTAGTTCAACTCCACAAATTTAATCAGTGACCAGCATTTACCCGGGGCATGCAGGTCCACGGCAGAGAAAAGAGGGCAGAGGAGCTGCTTTAAAGCTCGTGTTGAGAATTGGCACCTGCCCCTCCACTCACATTTCATTGGCCCAAGCAAGTCACAGTGCCAAGCTTGATGTCAAAGATGTATCAAGATCTAATCTTCCCATGGCGTGGGATGGCCAATATTGGAGAAAAATAATACAGCTTGAAATACTATGTTGAGGTGAGCAAGGCATCTCTCTGAGCCTCAGCTTTGTCCTGGATGTAGGGGATGATAATAACATTTACCCCTCAGGATTGTTTAGAAAGTAAAAGGGAGCAATGCATCCAAATGCCGTGTAAATGTGAGAGCTATAGGGATTATTTGTTGCCCCAAGATTGCTCTTTCTCAGATATCATCATCTCAGGAAACTGTGCAATTTTTTTCCTTTTCAATTTTGTATTCAATACAGAAAATAATCATAAGTAAAAATATACATTTTCAATAAAGACATTTGCACAT